CGCCAACAGTTTTCAGCACCACTCAAAAAAGGTTGCTCCTTTTTTTTTATGAGGGCGGCACAAGACGGACAAGTCACCAGGAAAGCCAGCCAAGACAATTTAGATCATCAGGATAGCCTTTCAGATAATATAACTTGTGCTCCACAGACTACTGAGGAAGGTGCAGGAGGATAGTACCCCAGAAATGGTCATTGTCGCACCAATATGGCGGACACAAGTTTGGTTTCCTGTCCTCTTACGTCTGATATCGGGACCATGTTACGTATTACCAGCACCTCGTCAAAGTCTCTGTCATCCCACAGACAGGGAGAGGATACATCCCCTCGGGAAGATGTTGGAGTTTTTCAAGTGTCAGGTCTTCACAACAGAAGTGGATTTTCAAAAGACGTTACCACTCTCTTGTCAGCTTCATGGCGACAAAATACACAAAAACAGTATAGGGGTTATCTCTCGCGATGGATGCAATTTTGTGGTCAACGGAAGATTGATCCATATTCCCCATCTTTATGCATAAATGAGGTGTTAGAGTTTTTGACTGGCCTGTTTTCTCAAGGACTGGGCTATAGCGCCATTAATACTGCCAGGTCAGCAATTAGTTCTTTGGAATTGTCAACAAATAATCCAGTTAGTAAACATCCACTATTGTGTAGATTATTAAAGGGTATATTTGTTAGTAGGCCAAGTTTACCTAAGTACGCAAAAATTTGGAATGTTAGTAGTGTTTTAGACTTTTTAGAAACCCTTACTCCTGTAAATACGTTAACCTTGTTAGAACTTACCAAAAAATTAGTTATGTTATTAGCATTAGTGACTGGCCAGAGAGGACAATATCTTCATATGCTGGAGACTTCTGGTATTTCTTTCACAGCGGATGTCATGACATTATATACAAAGAACATATTAAAGACATCTAAACCAGGTTATCATCAGGTCCCTATTAGGGTAAAAAAGTTCCATGATAAGCCATCTTTATGTGTCTATTCTACGATTATTTAGATCGGACAGAGTCTTTGCGGGTCAACACTGAACAATTATTTATAAGTACTGTTCCACCACATGGACCAGTGTGTCGCAGTTCCATTTCTAGATGGATTACGAGTGTTTTGACTAGTGCAGGGATCAATGTATCAGAGTTCGGACCTCACAGTACTAGGGCAGCAGCAACTAGTGCAGCAGCCATTAGACAAAATCCCTCTACATCAGATACTAAATGCAGCTGGCTGGTCGTCAGCCTGTACGTTCAGGTGCTTCTACCACAGAGACAGTGAAGCTAATACAGACAATTCACTAAGCGACATAATTGGTAGTTAATAGTCAACAACATCTGTGTGTGTACTATAATGCAAGTATCTTCAGTTGTTTGTTAGATATTAAAGGTTGGTTGAAGTGTTGCTGGCCCTTTTTGTTATTTCTTCTTATTCCACTGTATTATTGTATTGACTCTAAAATCTCATGGGATCTCTCAGCGTGGTTTATGTGAGAAAATTTGTAAATTAAACGAAGACATGAAGTTTGATATGAATTTTCTCACATCAACTTCACGCTGAGAGATTACACCCACCTCAATTCATCTAGTTTTACTCCAACCCTTTGGTATGTTCTGCTCAATACAATACAGACTTTGCTCTAAAGACTGAATCATATGTGCATGCGCATGTCATCTCATGTAATCTCTCAACGTGAAGCTGATGTGAGAAAATTCATATCAAACTTCATGTCTTCGTTTAATTTACAAATTATACAAGTTTAATTTACAAATTATACGAGTTAAGTCCACATAACTGAAGATAATTATTTACTGTTTTAGTTGAGACTCGTATAGTTGATTGTTGGAAACTATTGTAATGTTCCTGACTCACACCTTTATGTATGTGGACATGTATATACTTTCTGTAAACTGTAAATATTGAAGAAGAAAAAAGAAACAACTTTTGTCCTTGACTTGAACCGCCGTCACATCTTCACTCAGATTGTTAATTTGTTGAAATTTGAATATGTGTAAAAGTATTGAATTGTAATCCGTACGATCTTAAGTATGGCTGTACTTGTATCTATATTCCGTGTGACAGAACGCGTGTTGTTGTGTGTAAGACTCCATTTTGGTTATGGGTATTCCCGTCGGGGATCTTCCGTCATTGATTGGTTGGTATTTTGGGTTACGGTTATTTATACCCGCCTTACCTGTACACTGTCTAGATGACACAGTGCGCGTGTATTTCATGGCATATCATTAAATTTACTATATAGTCAGGGTTCGGTATTATATGACAGTCTGGCAGAGGCTTACATGTAGCTGGCCGGCTCGTCTCTTCTATACTTTAGAAAGGTAGGCATGATAACCATGTAGGAACCCATTCGGCTTTATACCTCAAAATTACTCCGGGTTGGGTGGTCATTATTCACAATGTATTAATGTGTAGTTGTAGTTTGTTCGGTTGGATTTTTCCCTTAGCAGGCAGTTTTGTAGAGTTCCAATGTCGAAGGTTACTTGGTCTATATTTATAACCCCGGTGGGCGCTGGCGGTGCGTATGTTATTATTTAATGAAGTCCAGTGTGGAGTGAGCAATAATGGAGTGGTGCTGGGCACATTGTTATATATTTATTCATATACATCATCCTTCATTCACTCTTGTTGTCCTTAATAAAATGTTGAACGTTATTTCCTAGTTTGTTTCCATTTCCCTGTACTACAGCCGGGCGGTCTTAGGCAAAGACAGAACCACAGAGTGACGAACAAGAAAAATAATCACTATACGAGACGAAGTTTAGACCTTTTACATTGGTGCCGTGAACCAACTCTGTGTAATCTGTTCTTTGCTGATTTGTTGCAATTCGGTTACAATGGCTACAGGTCAGTGTCGGCACACTACTATCACAATAGAAGGCGATGGTGAGCAATCTAGCCGTAAACCTACTTACAATGTAAGTTTTTCTCAAGATGTAGATAGGCCTCGTGTTAGTCACTCAATGTCTTCTTTTCGAGGGGGTGTAGAGTTAGAACAGCAAAACCATACCCCAGTACCAAGTAGTACCCTAATACGCACTCGTTTAGATTCTAGTCAAGAGCACAATGCACGCAGTGTTAGTCAGCGTGCGGATACAAGGTCAGGGTCACACTTTGTGTATTCACTCATAGGTCTAGAGGGGCCATCTCAAAACCGGCCTCATATACTTGAGTTGGGCGGGGGCGGGAACGAAGGGCACTTCACCACTAGTACCCCACACCCTACCCGTACCCAAGAGCATGGACAATGCTGCGGGTCCATGCTCCCAAGTTAACAATTTTCTAGCGCTGCCAATCTAGATTCTAAACAACTTAAAACTTCTAGTCATAGGAAGCAGAAAGAGCCCCAAACATTTGATGGCAGTACAGATTTTAGAGAGTACATTATTCACTTTGAGCAGGTAGCTGAATAGAATAATTGGACAGATTGGGAAAAAGCTCACCAACTTATGTCCTTAAGGGGGTCCGCTCAGAGAACTTTATCTGATGTAACATTAGGACAGACTAGGGATTATGGGCAAGTGAGGTCTTTTCTGAAGGAGAGGTTTGATCCTCCAGGTAGAGAGATAGCCTATAGGTGTCAATTCAAATGTAGGAATCGGAGAGATACTGAAACCCTTGTGGATTATGGACAGGAACTCCGTAGATTAGCGGGGTTAGCTTTTCCTAGTTTGGCTGTAGGCACTCGGGAATCTGCTGTTATAGACCAGTTTATAATGGGACTAGGTAGTTTTGAATTAAGGAAACATGTCCAGTTTAGACACCCTACCACTTTAGAGTCTGCAATTACAGCAGCGATTGAATTTGCGGCATTTGATTGAATTTGAGGCATTTGAGAGTGACCAGGTTATGATACGTAAACCTAAATCCTATGGTGATACAGAACAGGCCCATGTGAATGCATGTAAGGATACAGAACCACAGAGAGCTCATAAGCAAGAAAGAGACTTAGCATCTCTGTTGCTGGAGGGTTTTGAAAAACTAGGCAAACAGTTAGCTGATACAAGGGGAGGTAACCCTAGATACAGAAGATGTTATAAATGTGGAGAGAATGGGCACATTAAGAAAAACTGTCCAAAAGTGTCAACCCCAACTCAAATAATCCAAAAAACTTGTAGAGGTCAAGCGAGAGCCCAAACGTTTGACAGATTGTACGGGAGTTGCACAGGAGTCGGTACATAACTTCCCGGAAGGGCTTACGTGTAGCACTAAAATCAGTATAAACTCCATAGTTTCTGGTTGTCTTTTTCTAGATGGATCCGTCTTGGGTAGAAATGTCAGGAATCTAATAGATTCAGGTTCCTCTGTAACAATATTCACTGAGGAGATATATTCTGCACTTCCTGAAAACAAATGTCCAAAATTAAACCCTGTTAATATCATGTTGTTTCTGCTTCTGGGAATGAGTTACGTGTTCAGGGAAAAGCAATATTTAAGATCAAGAACGGTCGTTTGGTTTATGAGCAAGAGGCTATTGTGGCAAATTTGGATAAACTAAATGGCATCCTTTGCATAGATTTCCTTTACAAACATGGTGGCGAGATCAATTTTCTAGACAAAACTATTAAGCTGGCTGGACAAAACATGGATTTAGCCACTGATGGTTACACAGGCTGTGCTCGAATCAGGGTTAGGGATTCAGTTAAAATACCTCCTAATTCTGAGTTTTTCCTTAAGGCTTATATGTAGATGGAGTTCTGCAGGATTCAGGTGTAAGGGAAATCAAGGTTTGGTAGAGCCCTCAGCTTATGTTGTCAATCAAGGACTGTTAATGGCTCGTACTCTAGTGGACCCTTGTAACCAAGAGATAGTTCTCTCCGTACTCAACTTGGGCCCAAAAGGTATTAATTTAAGTGGAAACACCATAGTAGGTAAACATCATCCAGTTGGTACAGTTCATTCATTAGATAGTGAGCCGGACACTGTTCACAGAACATTTAGCTGATCTTGTGGAAAAAGTTTCACCAAAACTGTCTAAAGATCAGAAACAGGAAGTCATACAATCAAGCACTTTCGGTCTTTGTTGACAGCTTGATGAAAAGAATTCATTTCTCTCTTACTAAGCACAACTTCACGCCCAACATCTTTTTCCTGTTCCAAGTCATCCTGGTTATTAAACTCTGATGCACACCATAAAGACTTCATTTCACTAGGCATTATATTTGTCGAAATCATGAAGTTACACCATTCAAACAAGGTGTAAGTTTCCATAACTGTTGTTTCTGGGTGTCTCTTGTTGAATACTCTACGGCAAATCCACGAATTAAATCTCTCGAAAGTGAACATCCAGGTCCCATATATGGGACCAAACTGTTTTATTCCTTTCACAATGTGATGCATAATATGGGTAGTTATATTTTGTAAACTCACAGGAAAATCTCTCTCCATCAGTGCAAGTGATCGATTCAGATTGTATTCCATTTCATCCAGGTTGTCTAGCTGTATGCTTTCAGAGCAGATATTTGAGATGCTGTCCAATAGACTGAAAAATGAACTTCTGCATCTTTCCGACAAACAGCCCCGTAAACAATACTTTAATATACCATGCGAAGCTATTTGTTTGTAGTCATGAGATTTCAGTGCACTTCTGTTCTTGAATATGAATGGTGATGGCTTCAACCTAAATCCAAGTGGTACACGCAAACTACAAGCTCTTTCATCTGCAAGTTTTATATCATCACTGCTAAGAACATATGTACACCTTGGCTTTACACTAGGATTCTGAGTTCTTCTCATTTTCTTTTGTGCAGTAGTACTACATCCCATTTCCTCTGTTCTTGTAGTGGTAACACAATCCTTAGTTGTTTCATGCTCCATTTCTGTACAGGCACCATTACATGCTATTGCCTGCTGCTCTGCTGTTTCTTTCTCATAAAAATTCCTACCATAGTTCAATTCTGTTAGCTGAATTTTATCTATAGCAACCCCTTTGTTTACAAGAAGATTCATAATGTTATGAACTACATCTTTAATGGTATGCATTGCATCAGGTAAAGATTCCTCTAGCCTGCAATGACCCGGTAATGTTCCTAAGGCATAGGGACTTTTATATCCTGTTGCCGCAGCAATCAAAGTTCTGTTTACTTTCTTGTTTGCTCTGCAGTAGGCCGTACGGTAATCATTTTCTTCGCTGCTCTGACGTTTCTTTGGTGGTACAGATTGATCTGGAGTTTTGTCAACAAAGTGCTCTGTATCCATACGTAAAGAATCTTTTGCAGAAAGATATGATCTGTTTGACAGGTATATGACTTTGTCCAAAGTTTTGCAAAATTTTCCCCGAATATGACACCAATGGCAACCACTTAGACTGGCACTACCATGTTGACAGAATAATTTTGAAAGTCCTGGGTAATCCAGAATGTATACGAGAAGTTTAATCTTAATTTCCACTGGTGCCTTTCTGTATGTATCTACAGTACTGCATTCGGTTAAATAAAGCAATTCATCTACCATGATCTCAATATATGGGTCTAATTTAGATGCCTCTGACCGATTGCTTCCAGGTATTATCCTCACCAGTAAAATGTTTCCAAAATTGTTTCGGATATGTCGTGGGAGGTTCAATAATGTGAGCATAATTGGTGTCATTGAGTAGCGAACTCCAACATTATGATACGGACTAACACCATCAGCCTCAAATGCAAATGACAGTCCTCTAAAATCACCTTTAAAATATCCATCTGTTGAGTATATGTTTTTCCGAGCTTGAGAGTCATGAATATCCCACATCACTTCACTGTCATTCTGGTATTTCGGACCATGAACTTGAACCAACTTTGCTAAATTTTCATCACCGAAGATCCTTGCAATACGTGGACCAATTGGAAGGTATGAAAAATGTTTTGTTTTTGTAGAGCCACAACTGGAACATTGTTGTACAGGTCCAGATCTGTCTGCTGAATCTTTATCAAACACCATACAATCATTCACACATGCCAAAAAGAGCCTTTTTTAACAAGGAAAGGATTTAGTAATCTTCTTGCTTCTTTGTAACTTGAGGGTAAATGTACAGTCCTACTACGTGAAGTATGAAGCACTTTTTGCACATTGAGATGGCTAGAAAAAGCACTCTTACTCATAGCATGTGATGAAAAAGTGTAGAAATTTATAGCAAGCCATTGCAGAATAGTTGTTGGAATCAGGTAAGTTTTGTGTAGCAATTCCTTTTGAATATAGCTCACTGTCAAATGAGAATGACCACTTTTTCTTTTCATCGCAGCCTTCATCGTCTGTTTCTGATGAGTCAGAACCGACATCTGATAACTGCCTTGATCCTCTTCATTACTTGTAATACTTTCATCACTTTCTTGCAAACTTTCCACAGCTTGTTCAGAATTTCCGGTAACATTATTCAATCTGAAACACCACAAACATGAACACCTGGTATTAAAACATTGATTTTGGACTAATTTATTAAGAAATAAATAACTTGACAATCTTAGATTTGCTATAGGGACCAATAAACCATTGTTTTTAAAGGGGTTATATAAGAATCCCTTAGTCTGTATTATGTATTTCCAATATTACAGTGTTCATTCATAAGAATTATGCAGCAAACAATAGTTCAAACAGTTTGGACTTAGTTAATCATAAACAATAAAATTACCGTTTTTGGTCTGATGTCTCTGTGTTATTAACAAATACTTGTGATTCTGGCGTTTCTTCCATGTCCAATCCGTCTGAAGAAAATTTGAAAGTAAATATTGATAATGTAAACAAAGTGCAAGACGCATTTCAAAACAACAATGCCACGCAACTAGGATAGGTTTACGCTCTGAATTATAATATCATATGACAATTAAAACTACATTAAATTGTCAATCGATCTTTGTCCCTGAGAAATAACATCAGGTCGGGAAATCTTCCAAAATCAGCTATAGGCTAACACACTGTAGCTGAGATCAACTATATTTTACAGTGTCACAATCGTTTACCAAAACGTTTATTGTGATCTATGACGACTCATTTCATGAGAAAGCAGTGACGGTAATAGTCATTAACCCTGTATACCACGTTCCAATAAAGGAAAATATTGATATATTCCTTATCCTCACGAGTCACAATAATTAAAATCGACTGACTTTACTTATTAGGCCTAATGCCTCTAAGTCTAAATATGCCGTACCTGGTAAATTCCTCCAGCTCATTTTTTTCCGGCGATGTAGTTGGTTCGTTGCTGCCATACTTCTTCAAGTGTTTTGCTACTATTCTGGCATCTATCGGTGCTAATTTAGATTGACAAATTCTACAACTACATCTCTTTTTAGTGTGTGGCATGTGTCCGATCTGCGTGTTAGCTGTGTTTTCCCTCGTCTTTCCATCGTCTCTTGTCACGACGAGGCTTGATACCAGAAGCAGATCGGATGCAAGCGCAATTGAGATTACGATTTTAAGGTCAATTCAAATTACAGAACATAAAATTAAACGGAGTGCATTCCTTATATTAATTTGTAGATCATTTACGAATATTACTTTTTATTAGTTTGTATTATTTTTGTTTACAACTAATAACTTATACGAAAGTATTTGAACAATTGTATCAGTGCAGTTGTAATTCTCCCACCAAATCTTCATCTTATTCACAACATAAAATTTAAAAAAATATATCGATCTGCGCGTGCCAAGTTCCCGCCGCGCCGTTTACTATTTTTGCATCGCCATGATGGACATCTCTTTCGAAAATTTGCCTCTCTCCAAAGAAGGAAAAATCGCAATGAAAGGTAGGTTTGTGATAACTCATTGCAATAAATATAATTCTTAGGTTCCAGCTGCTACGGTACACGTGTCTACATAAGCTTAGCATTGTTTTTAACGATTGATCGGCCTACCATGCTAACAGTGAAAGGGGCGCATCTAATCAAAATGGTCATAAAATTTGTGAACATAGCATTGGATTACACTAATGACAGTTTTTGTTTCTAGAAAGATGTAAAACAATTCCGATCCCGTTAATCATTTGTAGAAAATAAACATTTACTAATCTAGCTTAGTCTGGCATGATTAAAATGTCGTATTAGCCTAGGCCAAAAAGCAAAAAAAAAGTTTGTTACAGGTAGGCCTACATGCATGCTTGAAAAATAGGGTAGGTCCGTAGGCTTTTCATTTTATTTTTCATTATTTATATGAAATTTCTCACTCTTGTGGGTGGAGGTGGGGGTTTTAATTCACAAAAGTTTTGGCTTGTAAATAATATGATTTATGTTTGGTTTTGACGCGTTTTGACCATTGTTCTGGAAGTTCTATTCTATAGTATTTCCATTTTTCATTCAACATCATCATATCACTTTCACCACGGACATATACATCTGTATATAAGTCTGTGGTGTCACATAACCATAATTTATTGAGAGTGATTGTAAGATTAAATCGTTAGGGACAGGGGTAAAAACTAGGGTCGGTCGAGATAGTGGAACATACATATAGGATCTTAAATGAGGTTTCATTTGATATGAGATTTTATGAAACGAGTCCAGTTCTTGACGTCAATCCATTGTTGATGTGACATCATTTGAATGTTCTTCATTTGTGAAGTCACAATTTGAAAGTTACTAGTGTAATATATATCAAAATATGTAATGGTTTATTACACTGCATAATACCACAGTCATGATAAATATATTTTTTGACCTTATCAAGTTATATGTATTAAACTTAAAAGAAAAAATGAATTGGATTGAATGCTAACCAAACCATTCAATTTCTTCTCTTTTTTTTTTTTTTTTAGAAAATGGTGTGACTGTGGAAGATTTATATACATTCACGGAGGGTGATATCCTAGATATATTTAAGATATTTCAAGACCGGAGATTGGTGAGGAAACTCGTTCAAGATATTTCAGTTCCAACTAGTACACATTTGAATTCGAGCTTTAGCAGTGCCAACACGAGCATGGAAATGGAAAGTGACTTCGATCAAAAAGTAGATCAAGGTCAGATAGATTTGAAAACTGTCGGTGAGTTTAGTGCAGATGAACTTCTGCAAAAGAAAAGTTTGCGTGGACAGAGCAATGATGCTCAAAAAATTTTTAACACCCTTATGAAAGATGCTGCAAAAGCAGCAAACATTTGGAAAAAGGCACCAACATTGGACAGCATCAGTTTAAAGAAAAAAGAGATATTCCTGAAAGTCTGCATTGATCATGCACCATGCCTGGAAACCCGAAAAAATGATCTGTGGCAAAGAATTGGTCAGCATCTTCAAAACAGACGCAAGTATCTACGTGACAAATTGGCAGGAAAAAGAAAGCATAAATGGAAGCATCCAGTAGATCTAGAATCATCAAAACCTGATG